GCCTGCAGTCGGATTCTGGGGGGGGTCTGATTGGTTTTTCATCGGCGTTGAAATTCATATCGGAGCCCTAGTAAATACCCACACTATATTGGGGGTTCCTTACTATAACTATTTTATAACATACACAAAAACCCTATTCTAATTATTAAGGCGCCTATATTGCGATGCCCAAGCAGATTTCTGAGCAGTTTGTATTGCTTGATAGGCTTCTAAGCGCTTTATAAGATAGTTTGGTCTTCGACAATGCGTGGAAGCAAGCTGGGTGAGCACCAGTTTCTGCACTTGTTGATTTGTTTATCAGGCTTCTAGCTTGGCACTCTGGATCTTGAAAAATTTGGTTCTCCAAGCTGAGGCCTTCAAAGGTGTAACGGGTTGCTTAGGTTGTTTGACAAGGGCTTGCGAGGCTTAAAAAAGGAACATAGGCAGTAGACATCTTCGAAAGCGAACAGCACCGCCAGCGTAGGGGTTTTGCGGAGTATACCTTTGAATGGTTTACATAGCATCAGTTAACAAGCTGTAGTATAATTTACTCCAGAACCCTCTAATTATTGAGGTCCCTATGTTCGGGTTTGGGATTTAGGTTTTTTTGGGCTTAGGCGTTAAGGCTTCATGGTTTCGGTTCGGCGCCTGCAGTTTGGGGTTTGGGGTTTGGGGTTTAGGGTTTAGGGTATAGGGTTTAGGGCAGTACTGCTTGATCTACCAGCTAGTTCTATGAAGTTCTAGTGGCCTGAAACGCTTGAAGTCTCCGGCAGGACAGGATGCTCAACGGCTTAGGGTTCAGGAGTTTAGGGTTTACGGCTTGCAATCCTGTCAAGTCTGATTCTCGCCTCATCCAGCTTCGAATTCCCCTGTAAAACCTAAAGCCCCTAAACCCTAAACCCTGAACCCTAAACCCACAATTTCAACCCTGCGCTCCTACATTTGTTCTACTCTGGGTAGGTTTCGTGATCCCCAGGACACTGGGCACTCTTTCCAGAAAGGGATATAAGAACACATAATACTGATAATCGCAACAATAACAGGTATATACACACATAAACATAAATACGAAATATATATATATATACACACATGATATGTGTATGTATGTATGTGTACATATATATATATATATATGTTCTTATATATATACATATACATATGTATGTCTATCTATCTATCTATCTATCTATCTATCTTGGAGACACCGGTACAGCAGACCCAAGCCTCCAAGTGCTCCGGAGGCGCGGCGGCCTTTTGCCGAACGCCACGTGGAGAGCCGTGCTAGCTGCCGGGCTGAGGCCCCTTTTGGGGTTGAGGGTATAGGGTTTAGGGTTTAGGGTTTAGGGTTTAGGGTTTAGGGTTTAGGGTTTCAGAGTTTCAGGGTTTCAGGGTTTAGGGTTTCAGGGTGTAGGGTTGAGGGTCTCGGATTTCAGGGTTCAGGGTGTAGGGTTCGGAGTTTTGGGGTGTAGGGTTTCAGAGTTTCAGGGTTTCAGGGTTTAGGTTCAGGGTGTAGGGTTCAGGGTTTCAGGGTTTCAGGCTTTAGGTTTGGGGTGTAGGGTTTCAGAGTTTCAGGGTTTCAGGCTTTAGGTTTGGGGTGTAGGGTTTCAGAGTTTCAGGGTTTCAGGGTTTAGGGTTTCAGGGTGTAGGGTTTCAAGGTTTC